TTTCTTAGACAAAATTTAAATTCTCTGAGTGTGTGAGAGTGTGTATGTGTGTGTGTTTGTGTGTGTGTTTGTGTGTGTTTGTGTGTGTGTGTTTGCGTGTGTATGTGTGTGTGCGTGTGTGTGTGTGTGTATGCGTGACAAGTAGCATGGGTGGGCATGGCTCAGTGGGAAGTAGTAGTCACTATTTTAATGCAACATATCCAAGGTTCAACTTCGCCAGTCAACAGTCAGTTCTTCTACGATTCATTTATTCCTTCTGGTAGTAAACTGGTACACAGGCATATGCCAGGAAGTCGAACTCGTCCTCAGCTTGCTTGTAAGCAACTCTCTAAAATAAAAGCATCAGCGACCTTGCCAGTGGTTCATTGGTTTTGGCATTTGCTACTGCTCGGGCTATTTCTCAAGTGCCTCCGCTTCACGTGGAAAGCGAATACAGTAGGCCTGTCTCTTTGATATTCGGTCTGCCCGAACAATCGGTGTGCTGGCCCGGTGTTAGTGCTGTTGTTACCAGGATGCAGTTACACCTTTGGCACACTTTTTAGGTCTCTCAATTTTGAACTGCATGCTTTTTTAGCATCCACAACTTGAACTAAGGTCCAGCGACAATTTGTTTGAGGACAACCAGGTAACGGTTGTTTTCCTCCCCACGGGAATGTGTGCCAAAAACGCGATACCTGGTGGTTCATAGATCGCCTCCCACCATTCTTTTCGCAACTATCCGCTTACCTAGAAGACTGTTCTTGTGATCGCTATTCACTTTCCTGAAAGGCTCTCTTCATGACCATTTAAATAGCTAATTGCAATTCATGACATGGTTCTTTAGCTGTACAGTTGGCAAGTTTTCCAGTTGCTTTGACCACTGCTGCTGCTTCGCCTAGCGATTTGTCTGCTGATGATCTTGATGTAATTGAAACCATTAATTTGAAAAATTAATTTATTTGAACCCCAAAACAATTCAGTTTTTCAATCCGTGTCGCTTTTTTTGTTTGCCTTGTGCACAATGCCGCTAATATCAACAACAACCACAGCTTCAGGCGTTAGATTCAACTCAGTTATCGGACGATTTACGGATTCGGAATCGACCACCACTTCTTCGTCGTACTTCCTAGGTTCTGATTTATCTGGCCTTTCTCCACGACGAATATAGAAACCATAAACCTGTAAACATAAATTTTATGGCGGTAGCAAAAACTTCAAAAAAGAGAGTAGTTTGAATATTCGAGAAACAAAGAATAACATTTTAATTTAAAACCTGAGAAAAATTCTTTTAAAAATTTAGTGATTTTTTTCTTTAATATATGCTTCAGCAGCAACTGGTCTCCACAGATCACTTCGGTCATTCCCAACAGATCGGCTTACTCATTTTTAAGCTAATTCCTATTAAAACCCTTAAAACCATCCAGTTCTAAGCTTTCGCCACGGTACTCTTGATTACGCACT